ACTATGAGTTTGATCTAGTAGTGAGACCCTGAACACCCTGTAGACCCTTCCCTAAAATACAAAATAATAATAATAATAATAATAATTTAATTTAATTTAATTTAAAAATCAAGGGGATTTTTTGTTAGTAAATGTCTACTAATAAAGCAAAACAGTAACAAAAACTGTAACAACTTAAAGATCTCTCTTAGCTAAGCAAGTGACGTTGGCATATGCCTTGTAATCCCCACTCTGGGAAGCTGAGGAAGAAAGACAGCAAATGTGACTCCAACTTGATGAGAACTAGCAAGACCCTCTGTCGTGCCTAGCATGAGCTCCTTGAGCTCAATTCCCAGTACCCCCCCTCAAAAGGCCCTATGTCAAAATAAAAATCTAAAGGAGATGGGAGGAATGTATAGCTCAGTGTAAAGACCCTGGGTTCAAAATCCAATAACAAATCCAAACAAGAAAACACCACCTCTTATACACTGAGATAATTTAAGTGAGCAAGATCATGTACATGAAGTACTAGTAAAACACTGCCTCAGAAAAGAACTCTATTTAGAGTCCCTTTCTCTTACCTACTATCTTAGTTACTCTTCTCTCGTTGCTAGGACAAATACCTGATACCCAAAATGAAGGAAGGAAAGGTTTATTTAGCTCACAGTTACTGGAGGTTTCAGTCCATATTCAGCTGGGTCCGTGGCAGAGCAGCACATAGCAAAAAGCAACCTTTAATGGTGGCAGCAAAGAGCAAGAGCACAAGGGAGTAGCAGCAGCTCAAGTAGCTAGCTTCTCTTCCCATCTTACACTGTAATGCAAATTACTTGCCCCAGGGCAGGTGCAGCATCCACACCCACAATAATCAATCACAAACTGCAGAAGCTGCCCCATGACGGCATGAGGCTTTGGGGGGGACACCTGGACACAAACCGTAACACATACCCATATAATCAGGTTAGAAAACTAAGATTTTAATAGCGTCTTGTCTGGTTTTGTTGTTTCCAAACTTTTATAAACTATCCTGAACTTGGACATCTGAAATGTTCCAACTAATAAACAATGGTAGGGCTAGGGTATAGCTCAGTGGTAGAGTACATGTTCAGCACACATAAGGCCTTGGGATTATAGAAGAGGCGAACATTTCAAGCGGGAAGTTTAAAAAACTGTATAAAACAGTAGGACTGAAAACTAGAATTTGAAGACTATAGTACACTATTTTATATGATAAAGGTATGAAGTTAAAAGAAAATCTTAGGTAGAAGGAGCTACACGAATGGAAAATGTCAAAGTAAAAAAAAATTTCTTTACAATCTAGCCTCAATTTTTAACTGTTTTTCTTTCTCTCCCTGGTGTTCCAACAGAGAGGAACAGGTGCTGTCTGAATCAAGTATTATTCCCAAAATACAGTGCAGCATGCTAAATCCATACCTTTGTTCAGCCCAGTACCTCCCATAATAGCAAGGAATATCTTGTACAATTTCACAGCTTTCCTTATCACTTGTTCAATATACATAACAATGCTAGCTAGCTAAACTAATGTTCACCTTTCCCTCACCTACTTTTTCCTTGCCTAAAATTGTTTTTCTCCTCCTAATCCTAACTTACCAAAGGAATTTAATACACATTAAATTTATTCATTAATATATAAAGCAGATACACACTTTTAGAGATGCCATCACTAAGTCACTAAGCTGCCCGGGCTAGGCTGAACGGGCTGACAACCCTCTTGCCTCTGCCTCCCAGAATGCTGGGAATACAGGCAGCCTTGTGCCATTACACCCAGCTCAAAACTTCCCCTGTTCATAAAGTTTAAACTTAGACCCTTGAAACATTTCCCCTTTCACTTTTCTTACTGTCTCCTCCTCATCGTCCCCCATTTGCTTCCCACTCCACAAGCCCTTTTCCCTTTGGGTCTGTAATTCTCTATGGCAAAATGTTCCTCTTACTCACTTCAGAGATTTTTCACTACAAAAACTGCCCACAGAGTTTTTGGGTATGCTTAAGGAAAACAGCTTTGCCTATAACTCACTATGACTTGGACTTATGACATCAACTTGTATTTGGCAATCAGGAAGGCATAATGCCAAACTGTATTTTTCTTAGGTTATCAAACTGATGATTTCTGAAATAATTCATAAGTTGCACACTAAGTTACTGATGATGACTCAGGAGGCTCCTCTGAAAATTTAAATTTCCTGTCCCATTCTAGTCAGCTTCTTTTTTTTAACCTTGAAGACTGAAATTCCGCACCACCCTAAGACTGTTTGCAAGCTCTTATGACATTCATTAGAAAAACAAGAATCCTCACGTGGCACCTCCACATATGAAATCACTGATGATTAATTTTAATAAATGGTTCTCTCTTTGCCACAAGCACCTGGGCTCCATATCCAGCACACACCTGCCATAGCACCTAAGCCTATAAGTCCCCACCTACACAGGTACAAACCCTGACCCTGGATCCTAAGAATATATAGAAATGACAGAACAGACAGACTCTTCACCTATTTGAAACTCTCCTTTACAAACAGAGCACAGTATTGTTTGTGTTCTTGCTGGGAAAGGAGAAGCAAAAGGGAATAGACAGAACTAGAAACAAACCTAGGTGTCCTGCCTGAATGAAGAATGGGTCATAAACACTAGTAAATCACAAAAATGAGCATTTTAATCATTACATTTGTAAGGTTAAGTGCTCCATTCAGTACCACATATACTAAAAAAATTAGGGATAGGAGGGCTGGCAAGATAGCTCAGCAGACTAAGCACCTGCTTAGGTAAGCGCAGGGACCAGGGGTTCCATCCCTGGCACCACATGCCATGCCAGCCCCGCCCCCAGGGTGTGCTGAGCCGGCCACAGAAACCAGAAGGTGGCACAGGCCTGTAATCCCAGTCCTTGGGAGGCTGAAAACAGAAGGATCACTGTAAGTCCAAGCTGCATAGTGAGACCCTATATGAAATACATTAAAAATAAAAATTTTTTTAAAAATTAGGACTGGGGATGTAGCTCACCAGTATGTTAAATATTTATTTCTTAGCCAAAATTATAAATTAATCACTCAGATAAATAGAAACTGCCAGCTGGACACAGTGGCATGCACTTGTAATCTCACCACTTAGGAGGCTGAGGCAGGAGTATTCTTTGAGTTTGAGGCCAGCCTGAGCTACGTGAGTTCACAGATTGCCTGCACTACACAGCAAGACCCTGTCTCAAAAAACAAAACAAAACAAAACAAAACAAGACCTTGTCTCAAAGAAAGAAAAGAAACAAAGAAAAGAGTGAGCCTAAGGGCTAGAGATGTGGTTCAGTGATACTAGTAGAATTCTTGCCTTGCAGGCACAAAGCCCTGGGTTCAACAACAACCCCCAAAAAATGCCTACTGGGGCCAGGGAGATAGCTCAGTCGCATAAGTGTCTGCCTGACAAGCAGAAGGTCTTGAGTTCACTTCCCCGTGCCACAAAAAAGAAAAAGAAAAAAGCCTACTAACAGCCAGCCATGGTGGCACAAACCTATAATCCCAGCACTCTGGGACACTGAGGCAGGAGAACTGCAAGTCTGAGCTATACCTGGGCAACTCAGCAAGACCTAATCTCAAAATTAAAAAAAAAAAAAAATAGGTCTAGGGTTGTAGTTTAGTGTGAAGGCCCTACATAAAATCCCTAGGCCTGGGGTATGGAAACAGTTTACCTAATAATTCTAAGCCGTCTTTTATAACTGAACAATAAAGTGATAATCAAAGAAGACATTCTCCAGAAATGACCTTGGTCACTGTAGTTTCAGATGTTTACATAGGCACCCTAATGTAATCAGGAAAAAGAAATGAATAAAATGTAATGTCTTTTTAAGTAGGAGTCTAAACTCACAAATGCACCTTCTAAATACACTTTATAAAGCAATACACTACATGGCTGTGTTGTAGACATTAAAGTACAACAGGACAGAGGAAAGAGCAATCCCTTAATGTTAAGCAAATAGGTTCTCATATTTCCAGTGACATTATTTCTAAACTCAAAAAGTGCTATATTTCAAACAGATTAGATGAAAGGGAAAATGATATGCCTTTGGCCTTGTAAGATAACTGAAAAACTAGCTCTGGTAATAACAAAAACACCAATATCAAAGTGAATATAAACAATCTTACTTTCTTTTAGGTAATACTTTAAAATTTCCTAAATTTAGCCAATTGAAGTAAAAGCGTATGTGCATGCACAAATGTACATAAGTAAACATAACTAAAACAGGTCTGTTCCACCTATATCACTGGATATTTACATATTTAGCGTGATCAATTTTGGAAGTCATCTCATTGGAAAAAGGGGAAACTGCCTTAGATCTGAGGTCAATCTGCACTCAGATATATAATTTTTTAGTCTCCTTTGCTAGGTCCGGTGGCACATGCCTATAATCCTAGGACTTAGGAGGCTGAGGCAGGATCACAAGTTTAGGCCTAGTTAATTTTTATCTTAGATCTTGTCTCATGAAAAAAAAAAAAAAAAGGTTGAGCATAGAATTCAGTGTTCAGAATGTATCTCTGTGTGAAGGTCCTGTGTTCAAACAACACCCTCATGCCACTCCCACCCAAAAGTACTTTTTCCTCCAAAATTTCCTAAAGACAAGACGAATTATGACTTGTCGAACTTATAATCCATTTGAAATGACTATATATATATATATGTAATTCCTATTTCTCTGATAAGGAATCTACTTGTAGAATCAGATTCACCCTTTACTGGAGGTCCATCTACGATGAATCATGATAAAATCTTCATACAGCATTCATACACACAACTATTTCAGCCCTCAATACAATGCACTTGCCAGTAAGTACAAGCATATGGCTATGAAGGATAAGATAGGAGATAAGGGCAAAGAATATTCTTACACAGCATGAGAAATTGGCAAAGATTTTATTTTCCTATTCCCTAGCAAGATAATGTCAACTGGTGAGAAAGGTAAATGTTACTGAACAAAGCAGTTTTCCTAAAACTTCACATCTGTGTTTCTAAAAGAAGCTGCTTACCTCTGCCTCTGCTGCCAATTGTCTCTTCTTTGCTATCAACTGTTTTATGTCAATTTGACCTAAGGGAAGAAGAAAAAAAGCAAGCTTTACACATGCAAGTCTGATTTATTTCAGTTCTGAGAATGGTCAAGTGTAAATATAATACTGTCTCCCTAGTGTAAGAAAATGGAAGAACAAGTAAGATCCAAAATATATAACATATTGTAAAATGGGAAGAAAACATTCAAAATGAAAGAACAACTGGGGTAGGGGAAAGCAGAAAAAGAAAAAAAGAAATATATATATGTATATATGTACATATATGATAGTTACACTACTTGAAGATAATTAGACTTCTAATTTTTATTTGTTCATTGAAAAGAAAGGTTTCTGCTTATATGGCTTGATCAATTTTTTACCTTTGTATCTTATAATCTGAGCAACTACTTTGAAGATAATACGGAATTTATTAAACATTGTTAATCTGTTATCTTGTTTTGAAATCTGGTATTCTTTTTATTGTTTTCCCTTTAAAATAAAAAATTAAGCTTTAGGTTAACAGATATAGCTACCTAGCAGCACTACTGAAATCATTAATTTTGAAACCAACTAAATACAAAAAGGATTAGGTAAACTAACAAACAGTACAACCACAAAAGGGCTTTTGTCACCAAAGCCCTTAAAAATAATGCATAGGCAAAATAAGCAGAAGGAAATTTACACATAAAAATACTAACAAAAAAGCAACAAAACTATAAACATACAGTCAGGACAACTACATCAATCACACAATGCCAAAGATCCAATTCCGGTAGTATAAGAATCTAGGTTCCCTGAGTAGTTCCTACCATTAAGATTACTAAAGATATTGAGTAAAATATTAAAAAGCAAATTATATTTTAAACTTATTGAAAACTGGTACATATCTACACAGAAAAACGAAACTAGAACTAAGGGATACATGAGTGATGCACAGATTCCTGACAAATGTTTAAAACCCTGAGTTCTACGCAGACAGCCACACAAGGTCTGAACAGCACACAGAGCACATTACAGAAGGGTGACTCCTCGGGCCTGTCCAAACTTGAGAAGTCTAACAGGACAACATCTAAAACTAAGAATCGTAAGACTACATCCTTCATCCTTGGCAGACAAGTCAGAAACAAGTGGCGGCAACAGTAAACATCAGCCAGGCGTTTGGAGCCTGGGGCTTGCCTGGCTGGCAGCGCCCCCAGGGCATGCTGATATAGCAACTGAAACTGGGCGTGGTGGCATGCAACTGGGCGTGGCGGCAGGCCCCTGTAATCCCAGCTCTTGGAAGGCTGTAAACAGGCGGATCATATCAAGTCCAATCTAGTAGTGAGATCCTGAACATCCTGTAGACCCTTCCCTAAAAATACAAAAAAGAAAAAAAAGAAAACTAAAAGAACCTGATTAATCCTTAAGATTTTGTTATTCCTAACTGAATTTCAAGAAATCAGCCCTACCAACAATAATTTTCATGGCTTTTCCTTTCCAACTTGGGCCCAGCAGAATGGCTCCTGCAAAGAAGGGTGGCGAGAAGAAGAAGGGCCATTCTGCCATCAACGAGGTGGTGACCCAAGAATACACAATCAACATTCACAAGCGCATCCACAGAGTGGGCTTCAAGAAGCACGCCCCTCGGGCATTTAAGGAGATTCAGTAGTTAAATTCAGTAGCTAAAAACCATATTCCACTTTTATCTAGGCATGGCAGTGCACCCTGCCACCCAACCCTCAGAAGGCTGAGGTAGAAGGACTTCCTTCAGCCCAACCAGGCCAGCCTGGCCTACATAACAAGACCATGCCTCAAAAAATTCAAAAACAAAACAAACTTCTTATTTGGAAAAGTTTTAAAGATCTTTCTAAAATTACACATTTTATTGCCTTAAAAAAAAAAAAAAAGCAGCATATACTTCACATAACTAATCTTTAAGGCAAGTGAAAGTGATCAATACTGAATGTGCTGTACCATTACAGTGAAGTTTCCAGGAAAAGCTAAAATGCAAAGAGTAATCAAACCTGTACTACAAGACCAGCCCCAGAGAGTTACACTTTACCAATTGGGCTGGTTCTTTGATGATTTCCACTAAATCTGTTCCCTGTAACAATCCTGTGTTTTTGTTACACAAATTCAATGCCAATGTTACTTGGGGGGGGAGGGAGGACAACCAAGCTCATTGCATTGGTACCATTTCTCATTCAGTTTATGTGCTCACTCATTAAATAAAAATCCTGTAAATGCAGGGCACTAGGTTATATATCTCAGGAGAAATACATAAGCAGAAGCTTACAATACACAGAAAGGCTATGAGAGTGCGAAGCAGGGGTGGGGTTGGGGGAGCTTTTGCAGAGGAAGTCAATATTTGAGCTGAAGGGCTGGGATATAGCTACACAGTACAGTGCTTACAGAGCAGGCACAAGATCCTTGGTTTGATGTCCAGCACAACAAAAGAAAAAAATACATTAGGGCTGAAGTTCAAATGATACAGAAAAATTACAGTGAACATAAGCTAGAAAGATTTTTCTGGAAAAAAAATATACTACGGGGCTTTACTGAGTTTGCTGAGACTTGAACCCAAGTCAAATGCCTCTAAATGCCAAGCTTAAAGATAAAAAATAAATGTCAAGTATTCATTGCTTTATACTATTTAAAACCTGAGTCTAAAGGGAGCTTTTATCTACTTACCAATTACACTCTAGATCAGTTCTGTCTAATGGAAATAGTATAATATAAATCATTACATAATCTCAATTTGTCAGCCAGGTATGGTTGCATATGTCTGTAATCTCAGTTCTTGGGAGGCTGAGACAGAAGGGTTAGCCAGCCTGGGCTACATAATGAGCATAAGTCTAGCCTGAACTATATAGCAAGACCCTTTATCAAAAAAAAAAAAAAAAAAAAGTTTTTTAATCCTATGAGCCATATTAAAAAAGCAAAGAGGCAAGTAAATATTTCAAATCTGATGTGTATTTTAAATTACAATGCATCTTAACTCAGACTAGCACATTTTAAGTACTCAACCAGACCACATCCAACAATGTATTTCTACTAGCTACCATAATATATGATGTATGTCTACGCAAAGGTAAATAAACTTTTCTGTTAACAGGCCAGATCATATAGAGTTATCTTAGGCCACAGAATCTACAACTACGTAACAATAACTCAAATTTATTTGGGGGTGGGAGTGACTTTTTTGAGACATGTTCTACTACGTAATTCAGGATGGCCTTGAACTGCATGAGGTGGTCCTCTTGCCTCAGCCTCCCCAATGCTGGGATTACAGGTGTACATTACCATGCCTGGCTTCAATTTTAAACTAAATGAACATATCTGTGTTTACCAACCCTGCTCTAGATGACTGAGTTCACTCACTGTAAAGGTGGTTGGCAAATGAAACAGTATAACTACACATTGACTTTAATAATGTAACATAACTACAGTAAACAGTATCGGCTGTGTTTGCAACAGGGTAGGTGTTTCACTATATTTGCCAGAAACTAACTTAAGTGTAGAGACATTGTTTTAAGACAAAAGCCTGATGTCCCAAGAGAGTAGGGAACACTGGACTGA